CAGTTACAATCATTTGTTGACCACTTTTATTTCATTAGAATTGTGTTGACTGTTATTTGGCTTACCTAGGGGGTTGGGTTAGGTGTCATCACGACTAGGTGAATTTTGGGGTCATGACAAGTTGGTATCAGAGCTCTATGTACATAAGTTATGCGAGTCATGAGCAAGTGTCTAGTAAAGTCTTGTGGATAGGTATGATGACGTCCATACCTATCTTCGAGAGGCTACAAGACATCTAGGATAAATTTCCATCTTTCTTTCCGTATCATGCAGCATTGATTCGCCTTAAAGCATATCTCAATAAATCTCGTTCACTCACTCGTATGTTATGTGAGCGCTCAGTATTAGTTGTGCATCGATGACTATTTATGTCATGCATGAGGTGTGAGATGTGTTCTCTATGTTGTGGAGTTAGGCCAGTTTGGAGGACTTGAGTGCAGGTTCAGACCAGTAGCTTAGGCTCGGTGGTTTTCTATTGGATGGATATGTGCTTTGGACTTATATGTTTGATAAAGTCTCTAGGAGTAGGATTGATGGCTCAGTGAGTAGGGTGGATAGCTATATGAGGTGTATCATATGATTGAGGAATGTGTTCAGATGGCTTGAATGTGACGAGAGGATTTTTTTTTATATGAAAAGAACTATTGGGTGTTTGATTTCTATCATGAGGTATTGTATAGCCTCGAATTATGAGTGCGTTGAGGGGTCCTTCATGTTGTTGGATGAAGTAGATTATTATACCTTGCTGACGAGCTTAGACTCGGGAAGATTTAGCAATTGCATAGTGGTGGTGACCATGGTAATGCGTAGAGAGATGCCAATGAGGCTAAGCAGGTGGGTTATCTCCTTGTGGATGTCGAGGTTGCGTGATTCTTATGATGATTCAGTGGGGAGTTTTCTTCTATCAGTGGGTTATATGTGTTGCAATTTGAGTTTGGATTGCTTGAGAAAGTTGGCTTGACCGCCACGCGGATGAATGTCAGCTTATTATATGTTTTAAGGTATTTCATGATATGTGTTACATGCGTTTCTGGAGGATTTAGTAGGATTACAGTTTGGGACTATGGTAGTTATGGAGCAAGAGTATTGTGGGATTATTAAACATTGTGATAATGGATTCGAGCCAAGTGGGGAAGTCTGCTATTGACGATCAAATTGCATGGTCATGTGTTGTGTTAGTTTTGGTCTGAGGTATACTTATGGATTGGTTATGAATTGAAGAGGTGGATTTCGAGGATGACTCGATTAAGGAAAATTTCTTGATACATGATGTGTTACACTTTATGAATATATGAAAATCTGGGAATGGTTTAGGTGTGTTGTTCGTGATGGATGTAATGTACTAAGAAAAAGGAGTCACTCGGTTGTGTTAAGGTGAGGATACTTATGTAGGTGTTTGTGTGCTGATAGAGCACGAGTCGTTCAGCTTGTTTGGACGGTATTTGAGATTAAAATAGGGTGGATGACTCTCGAGAAGGTTATAATGGGTTCAGGATTCATATGTTGTATTTGAGGAATTTTTGAATTTTATAAAAAGATAAGATCTGAGATTTGGATTGGATGATGTCAGGACTCGCGGTATTTCTGCATTATTATGGATTCTATATTTCAGTATTAGAGAGGTTAAGGAAACAATTTCATATTCATGGAATGTTTCTTCAGAGATGGCATTTCGCTTGTTGTATTCTTAGGTCCTTAAGAGGGAGTACAATGGCTTATGGGCTTAGGGGCGACGTGGTTTCATGCTAGGATCTCTTCTGATGAGCTTGGTTAAGGATCATAGTGTACTGGCAAAGAGAAGTGTTAACTTGAAAGCAATTCAGAAGGAACTCGAAGGAATGGGCCAGCTTGGTAATGATTTGGATCATTGTAGCAATATAAATGATCGGATATTTTGGTTATTATGATGTGGTGAGGCTTTACTGGTGTTTTGTGGCAATACTCTTGGGTTTAGAGACTTGCATGACTTGGTTAAGTTAGAGGGATTCAGTTCTGATGGCTTTGTTATGTGCATATAGGTTTTGAAGAGTTGTCGATGGTGTCGACCTCGACTTGAGATGGATATTTTCTACAGGTATGAGGGGTAAGTTGTGTGTTGTGATGTTCTCATGTATGGGGGTCAAGTAATAGGTTTCTGGCTGATTGAGTATGTATCATGCTTGTGACTCAAAGTTGATAATTGGATTCTCGTATTTTTATTTGATGGCATGATAGATGCAGTGCATCGTGTGGGATTGATATTTGCATGTACAAGTTTGTGGTTCAGTTTCGAAGGGAAGGTCATGAGTGTTACACAACATAGACGGTTTCAGATGTCTTGAAGAATGCTGGTACTATTTCGTATCACCTGAGACGAGTGTGCATTTCAGAAAGACGCGTTGTATTTTGACTTGCAGATGCTTGACTGATTACGGTAATCAGCTGGTTGATCGACTGTTAATGTTCAGATTGTGCCATGTAGCACGGAGGGATTACAGAAGTATTTCTCGTGTTATTTCTCATATTTGTAACCATATTGTGAACTATTTGATCCATGTTTAAGTTTACATAGAGGTTAAATCTCTGAATGAATTTTTATAATTGTTATTTCTATGATGAAATTGCTTATTTGAGTTATGATAGCACACTTTACACATATCTACACTTAGCATGACATCTATACCAGTCCAGGAGCTTGAAATCTATTATTCATTCATCATATACATGTATTCTTGTGTATTTGCTTTAGTATGATATGATTTGGACTGGATGCATGTGAACACATCGGGCGAATTGTGTTGTTATGCATGTGACCATACAAGACGAATTGTGTTGTTGTCATGCCCCAAACTTGGAGAGGCGTGGCTGGCACCGGTGCCGAGCTGGCCCAAGCGAACCACTCTGTAACTCATAATTATTCGATCAAAACTAGAAGATACCTAGGTCGAGTTGGCTGAACTCATTCTTTTTGTAACTATCGTGGGCTAACATGACCATAACTCATAATGTACAACTGTAAGTGGGCAACACTGTATCAATAAAACTATCGTTCTTAAGACATGAATACATATGGGTCATCAAGGACTCTGACATACCCTACAAACTGAACCTCTGTCTACAAAGCCTCTAAGATTAATTGACATCAAATGGGATAGGGTACCGGCCTACCTGTAAGTCTGTAACAAAAGTCTGACACGATGACACATAGACTCGGCTGCACTCCAAATGAGGTGGAGTCTTACCGATCCTTCACTGAGTGCCAATCTCGTCTACTATGAGGGCTCGTAAAACTGATTATCTATACCTGCAGGCATGAATGTAGCATCCCCAACAAAAGGACGTGAGTACGAATAATGTACTGAGTATGTAAGGCGTGTAAATAAATATATAAAGAGCATGGATGAAACATGGAGTAAAGGACTCAACCTGTAAGTCTGAATAGCTCTGTAAATCATGAAATATTTATAATGTCATGCATATGCATATAAATATCATGTAATGCATAGGTTTGTACGTACATAACATCATCAAGCCTCTGAGGGCATCCCATCATATCATTTCAGCCATTGTGGGCAATATCATCACTGTATACCAGCTGATCAGGTGGTGGTGCGTATATAACGCCATAACCTTTTCCATATCCCATATATATATATATATATATATATATACATATACGTGTATATATACATATACGTGTATATAATACTGTCTAAGTCATATTTCAGCCACTATGGGCAACATCATCATCATATACCAGCTGATCAGGTGGTGATGCGTATATAACACCGTACCCTTTTTCCCGTATCCCATAAATATAATATACATATATACGCGTATATAATGTCATCTGGTCATGGGTCAATGCACATGTATAATAAATGGGTGAAATGCATGAAAAATACGTAATAATCTTAATATTCCTTCCGGATAACCTTTTTTAACTGCGTATTATTCTGAGACCCATGAACATGAAATAATAATATTTTTCATGGGGAATCAAGAATATAGACACCCCTAATAACTCTATGAATAGATTAATTTATGAAAATTGTGTATTTGCTTATTTCTTCAATATAATTTGGACCATACCAAAAGAAAGAAGGGATAACCTTAATATATCTGGACCAATTCTCTTGACAATCCCTCTAGTACAAATCTTTTGCGAAGAACACGTAACCCCGGATCAAAGTAGGAAAAAATCCTTATATTTTCCTAGTTGGTTAATGGTTCTTGCAAAGTTTGCTTATATCTCCTCATATGTTATAACGATTAATATCATTTTGGCAATGGCTTCTTATTTCTTAACCATGAGACTCCAATGTCTTCCTTGAAGCCTACATGAAATTCCAATTCACTGTTAAAAAGTCTAAACAACTCAAATTTCCTTAGTTTGAGAAAGTTTATTCTATTCTTGTTGCCTGCAACGAGCCAAAAGCCTAGCAAGTTATTTGGTTTGCTTGGTAGATGATAAACGTGGTTTTCACCAATTCAAGTAAAATAATTTAAAGAGGAACTCAAGAAATTTCCAAAGACCTGTCAAGCTGGATGTTAAAATACTATGAGAGTATTAAAGCCAAACAAATACTCAATAGACAAAAAGGACGCAAAGAAAAAAAAACTCTTGGTCATGTGATAAGAATTTTGAAGTGTGCACAAAAAAATGATGAAAGGATATTAAGTTATCATGAAGTTCTGTAAGTTGATGTAAATAAATGTGAAGTACTACACTAAAAAATCATTTACATCACATGTTCTCAAGAGAAATACCTTTAAAAAGATTGTTTATCATCTACTGCATCAAATTTTAAAGATGAATATCCTCAAGAAGGCATAAACTTTTTCTCTCAAGTAAAGAAGAAAAGGAAGAGAGGATTCAAATCCAAACTTCAAAGCATGTCTACAAAAAACCGGAAATATTGTGGCGGTTTTATTATGGCCGTTGCAAATAGCCGCCACAATACACAATGTATTACGTCGGTTTTCTGTTCGCCACAATATGTTATTTTAAAATGGCGGGTCCAATTGGAAGCCGACGCACTTGTTCATTTCTTTATGTTTTTAAAACACTTTTTGACTACATTTTTCAGCAAATTTCCTCCCACATTCCCTCCCCCAAATTACAATTCTCTTTCAGATTCCCTCCCACAAATTACACACATACTCTCTCTCTCTCTCTCAACTCCCTCTCTCACGATTTGAAGAAACCCTAAGCTTCACCTCACCTTACGGTTGCAAAAACACAGATTTGCTGAGGATTGTAAGTAGGTTCATTGATGCTTATCTTCTAATTTGCCAGATCTGTAAGTTTTATCTGTTTTCCAATGGTAGAGATTCTCCTTGCGTCGGACAGTCGAAAGTCTTTTTCTGCCTTTGTGAACAATGTTATGTATTACGTTGGTTTGTTTGTTCGTTTGTGAAATATATGCTGGAATTTTTGTCTCTTAATTAAGAGTGTGTGTGTGTGTGTGTGTGTTATTCATATAAGATTTTGTTGTGTTTCCTGATTTTTCGGTATTGCTGATTATGGAATTATATAATTGCATCAAGAGTTGAAGGTGTGCATATGAACTGTTTGATAAAAGTCCTAAGTGATTGGGTAAGTTAGTTTAACATCGTTTCATGGTCAAGTGTTCGATACAAGTTATTGAGCTGAATTACTATGGGGGTGGGGGTGGAGAGCAGGGCTGGGCATTTGGTATTTCTGTTCGATTTTAAAGAACTTCAGTTTTTTTATTGTACATATCGAATTTAGTTCAGTTCAGTTTATTTTTGCTTGTTCTGTTTGGTTCTTCAGTATGAGCCTGATATGCTGGGCTATTTTCTGCTTAAGAATGAGCTATTTTTGGTCATGTTGAGTATGGTCTAGTGTTGAACATGGTTTTCTCAAAAAGTGATGTCTTTTCTTATAGTGTTTATGACAAGGTAGCCAATGAACTTCATTATGTGACAACGCTTTAATGTCGATATTTTGAGGAAATTAATTCTTTCTAGATATTTGTCTTTGTGCTTTGGCAATTGTATTTCACTTGTGCTTTATGATCATGCAATTCCTGAACGGAAAGTGATGATGTTTGCATTCTAAATCTTTCTAACACTTTGTTCATATTGATAAGGTTATATGAAGAGTGCTGACAGATATAGGAAGGATTGGCAAGTCGAAAGGAGTTTTAATTGCTAATTTAAGTCACAGAGTATAAAACTTGACTAGGGTGCTGTTCAAGTTGATGTTACAGTCTGCTTGTTTCCTAGATGTCAAGTTCGACTACTTGTTTAGTTAGATCGCGCATTATATGGCCATAGAGCAACAGTCAAACACCGTCATCCTACAATATCTTTTCCCATATAAATAATTTTATGCTTGTACATCTCCACCCTCCTTTGTCACATAGTTAAAAGAAGAATCTTCTTAAGGACTAAGGGAAAAAATATTAGTAGAGCTCAGGATGAGGATTGCCCACAAATCCCATGATATTATGTCTTCTGAGAACGAGGGGTATGGTCTGGTTTGTCAATCTGGTTGCTTTAATAGCAATATTAATTTTGCGTCCATCACAAGATTTAGCTGCATGATGTAAAGTAACAGGTAAAAACATGTATCAGCTTTGATTATCAGTAACTTCTCAGTATAACTGCTAAGCATTTATATTAACTGTTCAAAAATATTGCAGTTACAGTGAGTGAAGTCGAAGCATTGTTTATTCAAAAGAATAAGCAGCTGCATAATTGATGATGGCCTCATTCATAAGGTATATCTCTACTGCTTGCAAAGAGAAATGCACATATCTGTACGTGTTTTGGATTCTTCAATGTATAATTGATATAGTACCTATCTAGTTTTAAAATCTGTTATGGCTACCTATTCTAATTCATGCAATGTCATCATCAGGAAGAGTTTCAGCTAGCGCTCTTCAGGAACCAAAAAAAGAGGAATCTGTTTGCAGATAGGGTATGTTTTCTCAGCCAACTTTCATTAAAATGGTCCCTGCCTGTGGATGAATTTTCATAAAATTTTATGCATTGCTTATTAACAGTTTAACACATTAACTCATATGCTGGAAATCAACTGTTTTTCTTGCATTTGTTTGGGCTGCTTTTGTCGATTTCTCTGTTCTCTCTGCCCATCTGAGGCTGTTTATCTCTTCACTGACTTTCTTCTAAAATTATGCAGATATTTGATCTTTTTGATATTAAGCGCAATGGAGTAATTGAGTTTGAAGAATTTCTCCGATCACTGGGTATCTTCCACCCTAATGCACCAGTAGCTGATAAAATGGCATGTGGGAAATTAACTTTGGTGGCTTTTATACTATCCATATGGTGCCTTTCACTTAGTTCTCATTTTTTCACTTTTAGTCTTCTAATGAAATGCATTATACATGCCTCTTTGTTGACATTGATCCCTCTAGCTTAATATCTTCTGCTATTAAGTTATGTATGCAAAATTAATATTGCTATTTTTCTTTCGTGTAGCAGAAAATTGAAGGATATAGAACACCCTGCTCATGTTTGAGGATATGACATGGGTGCAATTTTAACTGTAGTGTTCAACTAAAACTTTAACGCGACTTAGTCTTAGTTGATATCTCGGAGGAGTTGGCTAGCTTATTTCCACGGGTATAAGTACTAATCTTTTCTTGTTTGCTTTTCTGTCAGAGCTTGAAATAAGACATTATTCATACGGTGGTTTCCAGTTGGATCATACTTTGAAAATACTCTCGTCTTAGGGATGTAAGACTTTTTATAATTGTCCAAAATTAAATCTATACACACACAGGTAATATATATACTCTTGACTCTGTGAGCTCTTCGTATGATTGTTAAGGAGAACTAATGTTGAAGGATCTGATAGTGCATCAGTTAACTGATTTTATATACTTTTAGAAGCTGCATGGCATATACTGATAGAGGAGATGAACGATTATGTTCCTCTTTCTCTCTTTCTTGCAAGGTACGATAATGGGTGGGTGATAGATTGAGGCGTGGGGTGAGGGGAGGGATCAAAGTAATATACATATTGTAGTCATAACAGGAAGCGTGTCTCCTTCTCTTTCAGAGATTGTCATTCTGTTATAGATAGATCATGGAGTGAACTATATATTCATCACTTGCTTTCTGAAGCTATTTGACTTCTATTTTCCTTTTCTTATTGATGACAATGTTTTAGTCATTGTGATCTCTCAATATTTTTTCTGTAATAGTTATTGATTGTCTCTTTCTTTTTCTTCTTTTTTGTTGCAGGCACCAGATTTAGGAAATGGTGCTCCGTTACCAACTGGTCCAGGAATATCTTTGGAAGAAAGTAACAGTGCTGATTCAGCGAGTGCCGATTAGTAATCATGTTAGGATTAGCTATGACTCTCTTGAGTATTGTTATGTTGAATTACTCTTTGAAACTTCAATACAACGATAATGTAATTTTGGAGTATTTGTATTTTAATTTGTTTGATAAATATTTTGCTTATTTAGTCCTTTATATTGTGTTGCAATTAATATGAGATGCTATGTAAGTTTGAAGGCATAGGGTGCCGTAAGATGTAAATGTAGAATGGAACAATTGTTAAAATTATTTATGGCTGGAAATAATTGCATTTCTAGCTGTTTAATTGCGATAATAAAATTTAATATAAATTCAGTTTCAGATTTGCAATTATGGCGGTTTTTAACTGCCATATTAAACAACACAACAAGCCTTTATTAAACAATGTAAATGCGGCGATTTTCAGCTACATGTTGTGGCGGTTCTTTGAAAACCGCCGTAATACATTTTTGGCGATCGAAATTATGGCGTTTTCCGAAACCGCCATTAAAGAAGAGTATGGCGCCGTTATACGTAAAAATAACCGCCATAAATACAGAATTTTTTTGTAGCTCTGGGGAGAACGATACCATGAATAGCATTTTCATGGACATTTCTGTTGACCTTTACTTTTCAAGATAGAGTTTTTGTGGCTTCTTTGTGTCTTGGGATTCTTTTTGCTCTAACAGCATTATTGAATGCACCTAGAGCCCGTTTGGCTTAGCTGATTTAGAGTAGCTGATAAGTATTAGGTGATGAAAAACACTTTTAAGTGCTGAAACTGATTTAAAAAATAAGCAGCTACGTGTTTGAATAAAGTGCTGAAATTAATAATATGCTGCTGAAGAACTGTGCATACGAAGAGTTTTGTTTTAAAAAAAAGTATTTTAGGGATAGAATAGAAAATATTTTGATTAAACTTAAAGTGCTTATAAGCTGAAATTTGATAAGTTGGGGGAGATCAACTTATGACTTTTGGCTTATTTTTGGCTTATAAGCACTTAACTTATAAGCACTTTTAATTTTACCAAACGTGTAGATAACCCAAAAAATGCTTATAAACCAATTTGACCAGCTTATAAGCTTTGCCAAACACCCTCTTAGTTTACTCCACACGTATCTCAACTAGGTTGGGTTTTCTTGATGACTTGGCCACAATTCCCTTGAATTGTGCCGCCTTAATACATGACTCTAAGAATCATTATTTGAAAGGCATGGACTGCCACGTAATCTCCTTGTTGGAAAATTTTAAACTTTATCCAATAATCAATTAGGTGATATTCCGCTATCCGGTAATTAATTAATTATTCGTATAATTAAGAATTATCTCAACTTACTTAAAATTTTACTTATTTTTAATACACTTTATACAACGTAATATTACGGTCATGTGGTATCATATAAAATAAATTCATACACTATTATTTCATTAAAATATCCGTGTAAAAATACATACATTTTCTCAACTTATAATTTTCTTAATCTCATATAAAGAGTACAAATTTTTGTACACTTAATTCTTAAAATGGTAAAAAATAACCTTCTTTTCTTGTGAGAAAATAATTTCTATCTTTACAATAAAGAAAATCTCATAAACTTTCTTATATTATATATAATTTAAAGCATTTTCGAAAGTAGTAATATTAATATAAAATTATATTTTTCAAACCATTATTTTTTTTAAAAAAGAGTTCAACTCAAAATACCATATCAAATTATATATATAACGATATCAAGGTTGTTAAACTTACAAGTTGTAACAGTTGTTATGCCTATGACCACATCGGGATTTAACTGCATATCTTCCCTATATGCTGGATTGTTGATTGAGCGGAGTACTTTAAGAAAATAGTGAGTACCAAGGTGATTTTATTTGTGCTTTCATGATTTTATCATATTACTATTTTGTACTTGTTGGAGTAATGAATTGTACAAGTGATTAGCGAGTATCATTTGTAATTATTGCTTCTATTACCTCACCAAGGTTAGTTATGATCCTTGTTGAGTACATGGGGTCAGTTGTACTCATACTATACTTTTGCACCTTGTGTGCAGATATTGGAGCTGAGATGTTGTGGATAACAGGAGCTGGCATTGAAGATGTACTTGCTTTTTGGATATAACTACCACTTGTCCTTCATAGTTTTAGATTTGTAATATGTTATGTACATTCCAAACAGATATTGTATTTATTTCATACCAGCTCATAAAACTAAGTCTTAGTGGTTCACGACTTGTATTACCAGTTCTTGGGTTATTGTATAGAAATTCATATATTTTCATTTGTGGACCACTTTTTTTTATCAGAATTGTGTTGAATGTTAATTAACTTACCTAGCAGTTTAGGTTAGGTGCCATCACGATTTGATTGATTTTGGGGTCGTGACAAGTGGGAATTGGGTCGTGACACCTGTATTTCATATTTCATATTTTCTTCTCGAAAAGTAGGTTTTCCTCCTTGTTGTGAGCGCGTGATTTTTGTCTCACACGAATTATTCCAAAAGAATTCCCAAAATTAGGTCTTTTCTTTAATTATGTGTTATTTTTAGGAATTATTATGTTATTGTCCTGATTGTTTGCATATGTTTGTGTACATGTTTAATGCATTAAAAATACAAAAAATATAGTATCTGCATTTAGGATTTAATTTTACATTTTTTAGATTAATTAAGTGAATTGTTGTTTTACGAAAATGGAAAAATTAAAAAATAACGTATTTTGCATTTTTAGTGTTTAATGTCAAAATTTCGTGATTTTCTTTTTTGA